TGGGGGACTAACATGAAGGGGAAAGGAGTCCAGGAGAGCTGGCTGTATTTCAAGGAATCCCTGTTGAGGTTACAGGGACAAACCATCCCGATGTGTCGAAAGAATAGTAAATATAGCAGGCGACCAGCTTGGCTTAACGGTGAAATCCTAGCGGATCTTAAACATAAAAAAGAAGCTTACAAGAAGTGGAAGTTTGGACATATGACCAGGGAAGAGTATAAAAATATTGCTCGGGCATGTACGAATGAAATCAGGAGGGCCAAATCGCACCTGGAGCTGCAGCTAGCGAGAGATGTCAAGAGTAACAAGAAGGGTTTCTTCAGGTATGTTGGCAACAAGAAGAAAGCCAAGGAAAGTGTGGGCCCCTTACTGAATGAGGGAGGCAACCTAGTGACAGAGGATGTGGAAAAAGCTAATGTACTCAATGCTTTTTTTGCCTCTGTCTTCACGAACAAGGTCAGCTCCCAGACTGCTGCGCTGGGCATCACAACATGGGGAATAGATGGCCAGCCCTCTGTGGAGAAAGAGGTGGTTAGGGACTATTTAGAAAAGCTGGACATGCACAAGTCCATGGGGCCGGACGAGTTGCATCCGAGAGTGCTGAAGGAATTGGCGGCTGTGATTGCAGAGCCATTGGCCATTATCTTTGAAAACTCGTGGCGAACGGGGGAAGTCCCAGATGACTGGAAAAAGGCTAATGTAGTGCCAATCTTTAAAAAAGGGAAGAAGGAGGATCCTGGGAACTACAGGCCAGTCAGCCTCACCTCAGTCCCCGGAAAAATCATGGAGCAGGTCCTCAAAGAATCAATCCTGAAGCACTTAGATGAGAGGAAAGTGATCAGGAACACTCAGCATGGATTCACCAAGGGAAGGTCATGACTAATCTAATCGCCTTCTATGATGAGATTACTGGTTCTGTGGATGAAGGGAAAGCAGTGGATGTATTGTTTCTTGACTTTAGCAAAGCTTTTGACACGGTCTCCCACAGTATTCTTGTCAGCAAGTTAAAAAAGTATGGGCTGGATGAATGCACTATAAGGTGGGTAGAAAGTTGGCTAGATTGTCAGGCTCAACGGGTAGTGATCAATGGCTCCATGTCTAGTTGGCAGCCGGTGTCAAGTGGAGTGCCCCAGGGGTTGGTCCTGGGGCCGGTTTTGTTCAGTTTCTTCATAAATGATCTGGAGGATGGTGTGGATTGCACTCTCAGCAAATTTGCGGATGATACTAAACTGGGAGGAGTGGTAGATATGCTGGAGGGCAGGGATAGGATACAGAGGGACCTAGACGGATTGGGCCAAAAGAAATCTGATGAGGTTCAATAAGGATAAGTGCAGGGTCCTGCACTTAGGACGGAAGAACCCAATGCACAGCTACAGACTAGGGACTGAATGGCTAGGCAGCAGTTCTGCGGAAAAGGACCTAGGGGTGACAGTGGACGAGAAGCTGGATATGAGTCAGCAGTGTGCCCTTGTTGCCAAGAAGGCCAATGACATTTTGGGATGTATAAGTAGGGGCATAGCGAGCAGATCGAGGGACGTGATCATCCCCCTCTATTCGACATTGGTGAGGCCTCATCTGGAGTACTGTGTCCAGTTTTGGGCCCCACACTACAAGAAGGATGTGGATAAATTGGAGAGAGTCCAGCGAAGGGCAACAAAAATGATGAGGGGTCTGGAACACATGACTTATGAGGAGAGGCTGAGGGAACTGGGATTGTTTAGTCTGCAGAAGAGAAGAATGAGGGGGGATTTGACAGCTGCTTTCAACTACCTGAGAGAAGGTTCCAGAGAGGATGGTTCTAGACTATTCTCAGTGGTAGAAGAGGACAGGACAAGGAGTAATGGTCTCAAGTTGCAGTGGGGGAGGTTTAGGTTGGATATTAGGAAAAACTTTTTCTCTAGGAGGGTGGTGAAACACTGGAATGCGTTACCTAGGGAGGTGGTAGAATCTCCTTCCTTAGAAGTTTTTAAGATCAGGCTTGACAAAGCCCTGGCTGGGATGATTTAATTGGGGATTGGTCCTGCTTTGAGCAGGGGGTTGGACTAGATGACCTCCTGAGGTCCCTTCTGACCCTGATTTTCTAGGATTCTATGATTCTAATCCTGCAATTTCAAGTAAGGATTAAAAAAATACCTTATACTTCCGTTCCCTTCTGTTTAAAGGATAGGAACAATTGTATGCTGTTTACTTTGATATAATGTAACATATTGCCAGTCAGTTTGATACATTTAAAAATGTAACTTACTTGCTTTCCTCTTGTTGTTGCAAAAAACCCAAACCAAACAATCTTTTTCCTTCCAGACTTACCATTTTCTCTCTTTATTTTTATTAATAGATTATGGTGCATCTGTGTTATCTCTAGTGACATTCTTCTTCTTTTATCCTATACTTTCTTTCCTACCTTGTATTCTCTACCTATTCCATTATATTTTATTTCTCCTTTTCTATGCCACCCAGAAAATCTGTTGCATTCACACTTTTTTCTAACTTAGCCAGTCACCACATGCCTTGAGCTTGGGAATGTTGCCAATGCCTAAATCTTCTAGCCGTCTACAGTAGATGAAGGTGATTTTTCAGAGACAACATTCCATTGGGAAGCCAACAGTTCCTCTCCCCCACGCAGGTGTTGGAGAAGAGGAGGATTTTGGGATTCTTACCAGGATGTTGCTCCTGGACTCTGCAGTGGGTGGTAGGGGAGGGGTTGTTCCCTCTTATTTTTCCCATCTATGTGCAGAAGGAATTTTGTTATGAACACCAATATGGAGGTGATCTGTGGTGGGGGTCTGGCTGAAGGGTTCGAAGTGTGTGTTTGGGGGGGGGACACCTGGGGCAGAGTGTTAGGGGCTGGGGGATGAGGGCTCTGGCTTGGGGTGTAGGCTGCCCTGGGGCTGCGGCGGGGAGAGAGGACTCCCCCCAGCTCTCTTTCCCCACAGCCCCGGGGCTGGGGCCGGGGAAGAGGTGCTTCGCCCTGCCGCAGCAGCCCTGCATGCCCCAATCTCCCTCATCACCACCCCCCACCTCACCCCACTGTCCCCAAGTACCACCTCATCCCGCTGTCCTCTTCCAGGCCCACCTGTGGCCACTTCCCTGAGTGCAGTGTGCACACCTGCGTGGCTCTGCTAATTAAGTGTGCTGCCCTTTGTGGCCTCCTGCGTGGCCACACAGACACACACCTTACAGGGAACGTAGGTGCGGAGCTTAATGTTTTGCATCATTCTTCAGCTATGAGGCAGCTGATAAATTAGAAGCACTCCCAAGCCATTCTCCTTCTGGAAAAGAATGATCATTCCATCTCTCTTCACATCCATATTCCCACCTCCTAACTTCTTGGCAACCAAGAAGGTAAGAGGGTGTGGGTGTAGGTGTAGGGCAGAGGTGATCAAACTACGGCCCGCTGGACCGTCTTGCCCGGCCCCTGAGCTCCTGGCCCGGGAGGCTTGCCCCTGGCCCCTCCCCCGTAGTTAAGCCGCTGCGAACTCCTGCCGCTCTGAGCGGCATGGTAAAGGGGGGGCGGTGGCAGCACGCGTGTGGCAGTGGGGAGGTTGGGTAGGAGGTCCAGGGAGCAGTTAGGGGTGGTGGGTCTGGGGAGGTAGTTGGGGCAGGGGGTGGTTGGATGGGGTGTAGGTTCTGGGGCAGTCAGGGGTCGGGGAACAGGGTGGGTTGGATAGGGCGTGGGAGTCCTGGGGGGCCTGTTGGGGCGGGGGTGTGGATAGGTCGGGGCAGTTAGGGGAGTGGAAGAGGGGGGGTTGGATGGGGGTGGGATCTGGGGGGGTAGTTTTGGGTGGGGGTCCCAGGAGGGGCAGTCAGGGGACAAGGAGCAGGTGGGGGGTTTTGAGGGGGGGCAGTCAAGGGGCGGGAAGTGGGAGGGGGCAAATAGGGGGCAGGGGCCAGGCTGTTTTGGGGGCACAGCCTTCCCTACCCGGCCCTCCATACAGTTTCTCATCCTGATGTGGCCCTCGGGCCAAAAAGTTTGCCCACACCTGGTGTAGGGGGGTAGGTATGTGTCTGCACTACACCTTGTCTTCCTTCAGTTGCAAAATATATACTTGTGTCCACTACTCTGAATTTCTTTAGCCTCAGTTGATGAGTTATTGTGTACAAGTAGCACCAGTGCCTGCCTCTGCTACTGTTCAAAGCTTTCCCAATCTTGAACAGAATGAAATTGACCTGATTCCTGTTAGTTTCACTGTTGCCTTTAGGGGGTAATTTTTATATTGCCCCTCTCTAAGAAGTGCAGCACAAAAACAAGCAGCTCTGAGATGGCGGTAGGGGCCAGTGAGACCCTTGATATAACGTAAAACAGCCCTGTGGATTACCGCAGCCTGTTCGCAACTTCCTATGCTCAGAGTGCCACCCAGAATTCCAGCAGTGCTGTGTGTTGTAGACACACTCCTAACATGTCCCTCAACCCCCTGTGTTGGGGCTTGAAGTGCGGTGGCCTCATTGGGCAATACAAGCTGCCTTGTGCAGACCTGTGCCAGGAAGAAGTTTCCCAAGGCCAGCTCTGGAGCTGTAATGGACATTTTAGGTTTCTTCAGCAGCATGAAAGCCCTATACTAGCAAGGAGAGTCTTTCCCAGGGTTCTTTAACAGTTTTCACTTAAGCCTTTTCATTGTGCTTTAGCTGCCACAGGGAGTTCTGAGCTGCCACAGAGGCACTAGCTCTGTCTGTAGATTTAGGAAGGTAGCACTGTGGTTACACTTGATTAATGTTTAGTAAGTTCTCTTTTCTGGAAGAGATAGACACTTCTTATTTGTAATGAATTCTTTGATTCTTCAGAACCCTTGAATGCTTCCTATTTTACGTGAGGAGGTGCATTTCTCAAGCTGTGCCTTGTTAACAGGCAGGTGAATGACAAAGAATTGGAACTAGAGCTTAGGAAGCTTGCCCTATTCTCTTCACTCCCTGTTTTTTTCCCAAAGAAGGGTAGAGTGAAGCCTATCAGCGGGACACAATATTATGTTTATCTAATTATATGTTTCCCTTTTGGATATTTCTAGGCAGCAGCTGTTCGAGTTGGTCTTGGATTCACCACCAGTTTCTCCTTCAACAAACTATACCAAATATTCTGCTGGCAAAGGTCATGCTGCGGGTTCCGTGGTGGGTTCAGTATTAAAACAAGACAAACAACTTATAGACCATTTCTTGATAAAGGAAAACACTCAGACCCCTAAAAGGAGATCTGTAGCTGCTGAGGTGGAATATAAAGGTTGCAACAACGAACAAGAAAGAGATAATAGACGTTGTAGTTCTGCAGAGACTCATGATGCGGTCAGTGAAGGGATGGCAGCCACAAGTCCCGAAGGCATGAGAAATCTTGAGAAACCCTCTACATCTGTAATGAAAGTAATTACAAAAGGTGAGTTGCCTGTGTTGTCTTTCTCATTCCATGCTTCAGTTTGCTGTATTCACCAAAATCTTCTACCCTGTTTGTTGCCAATATCAGATATATGCTGCATGCCTTAATTAATTTTTATTAATTAATTAAAATGCTTAATTAATCTTTCTGTATTACTTTGAGATGAAAGGTACATTTACATTCTGCTATATTTAACTGGATGTGCTTCATCCAGAGGGCTGCATTATGGGGACATCTTTGGGTTTGTTTACATTGCAAGTAAAAATCCATGGCTGGCCCATGCCAGCTGACTCAGGCTTGTAGGACTTGGGCTAAGGGGCTGCTTAATTGCACTGTACACATTCAGGCTTAGACAGGAGTCTGGGCTCTGCAGCCAGAACCCAAACATCTATGCCACAATTAAACATGCTGTTAGTTTTAACCCCATGAGTCCAAGTCAGCTGGCACAGGACAGCTCTGGGTGTATAACTGCAGTGTGGACATACCCTTTGAGGGTACTGAATGGTATTGGCGGCTGCTGCTTAATCAGGATGATGTTGCATTAAAAACATACTTCATGGGGGGACTTGGCCCAGCGCCAAATGATTACAATGTAATTCAACTCTGAGAAAGTTATTAGTAAAAACAAAGGCTTTTTTCTCTCGCCAGCATCTACTGAGCCTAAAGTTGTTACAAAGGAGACTATTATTTCTGATGCCGTGTTGGGAGTTGAACCATAAATCTCAGATACAATAATATGCTGTGTAGAATTAGTTTATTGTACTTCTGTCTTGGCTAAGGTATTTCTGATTTGAAATACCGATTCAGGAGCCAGTGGGTACTACCAAAAGTGTGATCACACAACTATCTTTTAGAGTGAGCTTTGTTAGTCTGTATCAGCAAAAAGGAGGAGTACTTGTGGCACCTTAGAGACTAACAAATTTATTTGGGCATAAGCTTTTGTGGGTTTTAGCCCACGAAAGCTTATGCCCAAATAAATTTGTTAGTCTCTAAGGTGCCACAAGTACTCCTCGTTCTTTTTACAATTATCTTTGAGTTTCACAAGGTTTTTGCAAATGTGTTAGTTGAAGTCTCATACAGCATCAAATTTCTTTACAAGAAACAGTATTACAGGGACATCAAGAATTCATTTTTCTTGTTTAAAACTGACCCTTTTCGTATTAGCACAGTGATGATGATTGAAGAATCTCACTCTCAAATTATGCCTTAAAAATTACTGAGTAGTGGGGTTTTATACAAAGTGATTGACCACATAAGGGCAAGCATATTAAAAGAATAAAAGGATTTAGCAATATCTTTGTGGATCTCACGGTAACTTTTTACAAATATATGCTTGGGGGAACATAAACACATGAGTTCATTTAAGATGATCTCTGCTGTAGGTGGAGGGGGGAGCATGTCTTACTGGCAGAGCAGGAGATTTTGGATCAGTTCTGGGTTATGCTATGGCTAAGTCACATAACCTCTCTCTGCCTCAGTTACCCCTATGAAAAATGAGGTTAATACTTGTCTTCGTCGCAGGGCTCCTGTAAGGCACAGTTAATGAATGAATATGTGAAAGTAGTCCTTTTGAAATCCTTGGATTAAGGAAGTGCTACATGAGTATGAAGTATTAGCATAATTTATTATTAATCAGAATTTAAGAACAATTTCCTTACTGGGAGTTGAAATAATTCAAACTAAGTAAACTCACAGTTATGCACAATTCCAGTGGCATAGAAGCCCAAATATTGTTACTCCTATATTTGCAGCATTCATTAGCTAGTACCTTATAGCAAACAAACGAAACATATAAGCTCTGCCAGGGTAGAAGATTCTGCTCAAAATATTGAAAAAGGTAGGAATAAATGTTTTAGAAATGGAAGTGATTACTTTTTTAGTATTTGTCTGGGTGGATGTGCCAAATTTCTAAAAAGAAAAACTAGAATTCTGTGTTTGATTCTCACGAAAGCTTATGCTCAAATAAATTGGTTAGTCTCTAAGGTGCTACAAGTACTCCTCCTCTTTTTTCGTAAATAACAATTGTATTTTTCATATGAAAATATTTGGCTTTGCTGTAAGTAATGAACAAGCTTTTAAAAACACATCAAGTTGCCCTTTATTTTATTTTCAGTAGATTGTCCTGTGTGTGAGGTTGCTATTCCAGAGCAGTATATAAACAGACACTTAGATAGTTGTTTGACAAGAGATGAGAAGAAGGACGGCCTCAGAAGGTAAGAAACTTAAATCTAAGAACTGGTATGTGAATTTGACCAGTTGCTGCTACTTTTGGAGTGAGAAGCTTGCAGTGATATATTATAATAGTGAACTGTCTTCTTGCTTCTCTGTTACGTGCTATGGACATCGAAGTTGCTATGTAAATAACGATGGTGGTGGTTTTCTTCTCTCAACATGATACATTCAGCACCAGTCTTATTTCTTTTCTTGTAATTGAGTCAAACTTTTATACTGGTAGGAAATTTGGTTAAATTTTATAGGTTTTATGTTGAGTTTAGTCTTGTACGTTAGTGTCTCTGTAGTTCTGGTCATTGAAATTCTATCTCGATGGGTTTTCTTTTCATTTTTCAATGGATGAGAAGGGGCCCTTACTTCAAATTTTCCTCTTTAAAGCTCTGTTATTGAGCCAAAAAGCAGGTGTTCCACAAGCTCTCAAGTTAAAAGGTAAAATGTACAATCTCCTGCTTTCAGGGGAGGGGTCTCAACTGGATTGGGCGCAGCTTGCTCTTTAAAGTCCTGATACTGCAAAGACTTGTGTACATGCTTTATTTTATGCATGCATCCCAGGGCCAGTGTTCTGTTACAAGTACCCTCCTCATGATGTCCCACTTTTGCCCTCTTCACATCAGTGATGTGGAGTCTTCTCCCTCATTGTTGTCAATTATCTAAACTGAGCAGGAATATTATCTTCCACTGTTACAGATCATTGAGCCATGCAGAAATTTCTCTGCATGCACCTCTGACATTCCAATTGTATTTCCAGAGTCCTCTGACCCCTCTCCACTTCCTCTTGCTGAGTCCTGTGCTGTGACAGTTTTCCAACCATAGAATGCTACGTATGGTGTTAGGATATAGATATTCAGGCCTGTCTGCAAAGGCCTGTACTTTAAGAATTTAGGTGTATTCTTATCACTTGGCTAGTTAGAGGTATAAAAGAAAGAATCAAAATCACTGTCTGCCAGTGTAAGGTCCTTCTCTTACTGTGACAGTCTGAGGCCCTGTTCTTAGGCTAAGGCCTTTGGCTAAGCAACAGAGGCAGCCATAAGCTGGGAAGCGACCGGTCACATCCTCACATTCCAAACTAGTCACATTGAAAGAAGGTGCTTTTGGGCTGTTAGGAATACACTCCTCTCCTGATAATGCCTGTCACCTCCAGAGAAAGGGAAAAAGGAAACTTAGTTTGATAGCATCCTGTCTGGCAAGAACTCACTTATCAATAGCTGGGATGTGAAATCCTCACTTCTGTATTGTTTTGTCATTATAGTTCCCACTTTGCTATTGTTTGTCTGTATAATCTCTGTCTGGTTCTGTGATTGTTTCTGTCTGCTGTATAATTAATTTTGCTGGTGTAAACTAATTAAGGTGGTGGGATATAATTGGTTATATAATCATGTTACAATATGTTAGGATTGGTTAGTTAAATTTCAGGAAAATGATTGGTTAAGGTATAGCTAAGCAGAACTCAAGTTTTACTATATAGTCTGCAGTCAATCAGGGAGTGGGTGGGTGGGTGTGGAGTGGGGAAATGGGAACAGGGAATGGGGGTGGGGAAATTGGAATCATGTTTGGCTAAGGGCAGGAATGGGAACAGGGACACAGGTGTAAGGCTCTGTGGTGTCAGAGCTGGGAAGGGGGACACTAAGGAAGGAAACTGGAATCATGCTTGCTGGAAGTTCATCCCAATAAACATTGAATTGCTTGCACCTTTGGACTTCGGGTATTGTTGCTCTCTGTTCATGCGAGAAGGACCTGGGAAGTAAGCGGGTGAAGGAATAAGCCCCTAACATATGGCTGCCTCCAGAGACATCTTCAAACAGTGCCTTGTTTTTGCCAGAAGCAAGTTGCTAGAGGACAATACAAGTGCTTTCTCCCATCCAATTTCTGAGCACTGTTTCTAGACCTTGCTGGCCCAGGATCGAACACTGGATCTCTGACACATGCTGTTGTGCCAGTACTGAAAGTGATTTTATGTCTGCTTTATTCAGTGCAGGTTTAAACTTGTTTTCTGCATTCTCATGCTTTCTATAGCAAAATCTGCAAGCTGAAGTGTTTGCAAGTGAATAATGGCATTAAAACGTTGGAATTGAGTTGAAAGACTTTGTGCTCTATTCTGCTGCTCAGTGAGATTATCGCTGTTTTCTCGTGCCTTCTTTGACAAATGAGAAAATGGGCTAAATTTTCGTTTTGTTTGCTAGATCCAAGATTTTAAATACAGAACTCTTGTGGTTTTCAAGAGAACAGCTAATTGTGTGCGTTAGTGTGGCCATTGCTGTCAAGAAGACAATGACAAACAATCGTAACCAGTCTTATTGCCACAGGAGTGTACTGTGCAGCTCCAAACAGGTGCTAACATCTTATTGTTTTGACAGGTTGTTGACCTTTAGCTAATTCTTTATTAGTTGCAGTTGTTAAGTGCTCATGGCAAGTACATGGTTGAAACACACTTTCCCTTTAGAATATAAAGAATTTACACTTTTTTGTATAATTTGGTTTATTTTCATCTAGACTTCTCAGAGTTTAAAAAGGTGTCCAAGAAGGTATTTGTCATGATGGATTAGTTCCTGTGGAATTAAGCATGAATTTTGAAATATTTTTATTTTTTGCCATAACACTTTTTTAGATTTCTGTAGCACTTCGTATGTTTTTAGTTCCTCTCTGAGAAATTTGCTCAGTTTCTGCTTGTCCTTAATTTAAAGGCATATTGAATGCTGTATTAAGAAGTGTCTCATATTTCAGTGAGGCTAGTTATTTAGTTCCAAATTGCACACAGGAGATCAATAATTATAGATAAGTACGACTTTAGAAATTTAGAATTTTTTTTAAACAAAACATCTGTAGAGATCCAACATTCCAGTGGAATAGCTGGCATTATCAGGCAGCTGTCTTTGGCCCCATGCTGTTCTCTGTCCACTACATCATGCAGCCTGTACGTTACAATAGGTGTTAAACTTTTGCAGAGCTTTGAAAAGTTTTAATTCAATAAAAAGTTTGTTCCCCAATAGAAACTTAAACAGCTCTCTTTTCTTGAAAGTAATTGGGAGGAAATGCATTTTTTTTGCCAGATGTGCTACAGTGATTACAAGAGAGTAAAGTAGAAAGCTGTTATATTATGTCTAATGTAGAGAGCCATACTTAAATTTCTGCAAGGGGGTTGTATTCTGCTTCAGAAAAGAAAAGTATCTGCAACTGTTGTTTTTTTTCCAGAGTGGTAGCTGTGTTAGTCTGTATCCGCAAAAAAACCCGAGGCGTACTTGTGGCACCTTAGAGACTAACAAATTTATTTGGGTATAAGCTTTCGTGGGCTAAAACCCGCTTACAGACAGCCCCCCAACCTGAAGCAAATACTCATCAGCAACGACGCAACAAAAACACTAACCCAGGAACCTATCCTTGCAACAAAGCCCGTTGCCAACTCTGTCCACATATCTATTCAAGGGACACCATACAGGACCTAATCACATCAGCCACACTATCAGAGGCTCGTTCACCTGCACATCTACCAATGTGTGATGTGCCAGCAATGCCTCTCTGCCATGTACATTGGCCAAACCGGACAATCTCTCTGAAAAAGAATAAATGGACACAAATCAGACCTCAAGAATTATAACATTGAAAAACCAGTCGGCGAACACTTGAACCTCCCTGGTCACTCAATTTCAGACTGAAAAGTCGCAATTCTCCAACAAAAGAACTTCAAAACAGACTCCGAGAAACTGCAGAATTGGAATTAATTTGCAAACTGGACACCATTAACTTAGGCTTGAATATAGACTGGAAGTGGAAGGGTCATTACACAAAGTAAAAACTATTTCCCCATGAAGAAAAGGAGTACTTGTGGCACCTTAGACTAACCAATTTATTTGAGCATAAGCTTTCGTGAGCTACAGCTCACTTCATCGGATGCATACTGTGGAAAGTGTAGAAGATCTTATTATATACACACAAAGCATGAAAAAATACCTCCTTCCACCCCACTCTCCTGCTGGTAATAGCTTATCTAAAGTGATCACTCTCCTTACAATGTGTATGATAATCAAGCTGGGCCATTTCCAACACAAATCCAGGTTTTCTCCCCCTCTCCCTCCCCCCCCCCCACAAACTCACTCTCCTGCTGGTAATAGCTTATCCAAAGTGACCACTCTCCTTACATTGTGTATGATGATCAAGGTGGGCCATTTCCAGCACAAATCCAGGGTTTAACAAGAACGTCTGGGGTGAGGCGCGGGAAGGAAAAAACAAGGTGAAATAGGCTACCTTGCATAATGACTAAGCCACTCCCAGTCTCTCTTCAAGCCTAAGTTAATTGTATCCAATTTGTAAATGAATTCCAATTCAGCAGTTTCTCGCTGGAGTCTGGATTTGAAGTTTTTTTGTTGTAAAATAGTGACTTTCATGTCTGTAATCGCGTGACCAGAGAGATTGAAGTGTTCTCCGACTGGTTTATGAATGTTATAATTCTTGACATCTGATTTGTGTCCATTCTTTTACGTAGAGACTGTCCAGTTTGACCAATGTACATGGCAGAGGGGCATTGCTGGCACATGATGGCATATATCACATTGGTGGACGTGCGGTGAACGAGCCTCTGATAGTGTGGCTGATGTTATTAGGCCCTGTGATGGTGTCCCCTGAATAGATATGTGGGCACAGTTGGCAACGGGCTTTGTTGCAAGGATAGGTTCCTGGGTTAGTGGTTCTGTTGTGTGGTATGTGGTTGCTGGTGAGTATTTGCTTCAGGTTGGGGGGTTGTCTGTAGGCAAGGACTGGCCTGTCTCCCAAGATTTGTGAGAGTGTTGGGCCATCCTTCAGGATAGGTTGTAGATCCTTAGTAATGCGTTGGAGGGGTTTTAGTTGGGGGCTGAAGGTGACGGCTAGTGGCGTTCTGTTATTTTCTTTGTTAGGCCTGTCCTGTAGTAGGTGACTTCTGGGAACTCTTCTGGCTCTATCTATCTGTTTCTTCACTTCCGCAGGTGGGTATTGTAGTTGTAAGAATGCTTGATAGAGATCTTGTAGGTGTCTGTCTCTGTCTGAGGGGTTGGAGCAAATGCGGTTGTATCGCAGAGCTTGGCTGTAGACGATGGATCGCGTGGTGTGGTCGGGGTGAAAGCTGGAGGCATGTAGGTAGGAATAGCGGTCAGTAGGTTTCCGGTATAGGGTGGTGTTTATGTGACCATTGTTTATTAGCACTGTAGTGTCCAGGAAGTGGATCTCTTGTGTGGACTGGACCAGGCTGAGGTTGATGGTGGGATGGAAATCGTTGAAATCATGGTGGAATTCCATGGGTCCAGATGATGAAGATGTCATCAATATAGCGCAAGTAGAGTAGGGGCGTTAGGGGACGAGAGCTGAGGAAGCGTTGTTCTAAATCAGCCATAAAAATGTTGGCATACTGTGGGGCCATGCGGGTACCCATAGCAGTGCCGCTGATCTGAAGGTATACATTGTCCCCAAGTGTAAAATAGTTATGGGTAAGGACAAAGTCACAAAATTCAGCCACCAGGTTAGCCGTGACATTATCGGGGATAGTGTTCTTGACGGCTTGTAGTCCATCTTTGTGTGGAATGTTGGTGTAGAGGGCTTCTACATCCATAGTGGCCAGGATGGTGTTATCAGGAAGATCACCGATGGATTGTAGTTTCCTCAGGAAGTCAGTGGTATCTCGAAGGTAGCTGGGAGTGCTGGTAGCGTAGGGCCTGAGGAGGGAGTCTACATAGCCAGACAATCCTGCTGTCAGAGTGCCAATGCCTGAGATGATGGGGTGCCCAGGATTTCCAGGTTTATGGATCTTGGGTAGCAGATAGAATATCCCAGGTCGGGGTTCCAGGGGTGTGTCTGTGCGGATTTGATCTTGTGCTTTTTCAGGGAGTTTCTTGAGCAAATGCTGTAGTTGCTTTTGGTAACTCTCAGTGGGATCAGAGGGTAATGGCTTGTAGAAAGTGGTGTTGGAGAGCTGCCGAGCAGCCTCTTGTTCATATTCCGACCTATTCATGATGACAACAGCACCTCCTTTGTCAGCCTTTTTGCTTATGATGTCAGAGTTGTTTCTGAGGCTGTGGATGGCATTGTGTTCCGCACGGCTGAGGTTATGGGGCAAGTGATGCTGCTTTTCCACAATTTCAGCCCGTGCACGTCGGTGGAAGCACTCTATGTAGAAGTCCAGTCTGCTGTTTCAACCTTCAGGAGGAGTCCACGTAGAATCCTTCTTTTTGTAGTGTTGGTAGGGAGGTCTCTGTGGATTAGTATGTTGTTCAGAGGTATGTTGGAAATATTTCTTGAGTCGGAGATGTCGAAACCTGGATTTGTGTTGGAAATGGCCCAGCTTGATTATCATACACATTGTAAGGAGAGTGATCACTTTAGATAAGCTATTACCAGCAGGAGAGTGGGGTGGGAGGAGGTATTTTTTCATGCTTTGTGTGTATATAATAAGATCTTCTACACTTTCCACAGTATGCATCCAATGAAGTGAGCTGTAGCTCACGAAAGCTTATGCTCAAATAAATTGGTTAGTCTCTAAGGTGCCACAAGTACTCCTTTTCTTTTTGCGAATACAGACTAACACGGCTGTTACTCTGAAACCTATTTCCCCATGCTAATTTTTTCCCCCTGCTGTTACTCACACCTTTCTTGTCAACTGTTCGAAATGGGCCATCCTGATTATCACTACAAAAGGTTTTTTTTCTCCTGCTGATAATAGCCTACCTTAACTGATTGGTCTTGTTACAGTTGGTGTGGCAACACCCATTTTTTTTCATGTTCTCTGTGTATCTATATCTTCCTACTGTATTTTCCACTGCACTGATGAAGTGGGATTTAGCCCATGAAAGCTTTGCCCAAATAAATTTGTTAGTCTCTAAGGTGCCACAAGTACTCCTCGTCTTTTTTGTTCTTTTCTTGTATCACTAGCACAAGATTATTTAAATTGAAGATTAGCTAGGAATTAGTATGGGTCACTAGCCAAATCTAATCAGCTCAGATACAAATTTCACCATTAAGGTGACCTGAGCATACATTTGCAGTTTTATGCATTCTCTGTCTCCAAGATTATGAGTAGAGAGAATGTTACGCTCATTCAAAAATGTAAATGTTTCACTGAGCCTTCCGATTTCTACTATTTCCTGTAATTAAGCCATTTCCCCTGTGCTACAGCAGAATGGATGTCTTCACATTCTTATTTCACACTAAGCAATGTCAGGAAGTGGAGTTCTTTGTAGGAGGTAATTAATTGGGATAGCACTATTAATTTTCTTAATATAATTTGGCACCTACAAATTTGCTTTCAGGATAGTTATTTGATGGTTTTTTCCTTGGAGTATTTCTTTCAGGAAACTGGAAAGTTTTCTAACACAAATCTATGTTGTGACCTTTTAAAATCTCAGTAACTATGCAATTAAGGCGCAGCTAGCATTTGGATGGAATACCTAGGAGCTGAATTCCCTCTAAGTCGATGCTGAACTTAGGCCTCAGGGTAGCAGCTGATATGAATTTGAAGTCTTCACCCATTATAGCTATTAAAGATACTGTGGTGCTTGTTACAAGAGATGGAGGTGTTCACCCCAATTTCCTGAGTAAATTTAAACTAGAGTAAGTGCATTCTGTATATTTAAAATTCCCCCTCTGCCCCCCCCCCCCAGCTTTAGATGGGTAAGGTGTTCTCACTTCGTAGGGATGTTACTGTCGGTACTGCATTGCACCCTAGAGGTAGCAATATTTCAATAGTGGGTCATATGATTCTTATACGTGTTACATGTAAAGTGCTTTGAGATCCTTCTGGATGAAAAGCACTGTAGAACTGTAAGTCATTGCTTGGTTTCCTGCTATACAAGACAGAATTTCTTGGTTTTTCATTGGTTTACTTTTTCTCCTGCAGTTCTGGTCACAAAAGGAAGTGCCTGCCTAAAGTCGTTTACAACTTACTTTCTGACCGTGATCTGAAGAAGAAGCTAAAGGAACATGGGCTGTCTAGCCAAGGAACGAGGCAACAGCTTATTAAAAGACATCAAGAATTTGTGCATATGCATAATGCTCAATGTGATTCTTTAAATCCCAAATCAGGTAGGATGGCAAAGCTATGATGTTTTCACCTAGAGTTCCTAATACATTTTAAGAAATTCTCTCTCTTTCTCTATCCTGTGAGAAACTGAATTAGCTTTCAGAGTAGGAGCAAGACCGTTTGGGTCCTTGTGGAATAACATGGGGATTTGGAGAATTTGCATTAATCATATAAAAAGTGACCTATGAAGCTAACATTGCAAAATTAGTTGACACACATACTGGGAGAGCATCCAGCACAAACAATTTGTAACTTAACTTTATTAAAAAAATGCCGCCTCTTTTCCACTGACACTTCCTAGTTTGCGCAATGAATTCCAAAATGTTTTGTGGCACTACTGGTACTGCACATGAATAATGATGTTGGGGTGTCTCCAGATTAACTCTTTGGGTCATCACTAGCAAGCTAGGAAATATCAGAGGGTTTTAAGAATGCCAGTGGGAAAGGATTAATAATTATTTCTGTGTTGAATTTCTCTCATCTTGTTCAGTGGGGCATTCTGTATATATTGTTGGGTTTAATTTCAATTTTAGACTTATAAAGAGGAGATGATGTGGAGTGTGTGAAATTACTGAGTAAGAAAGTGCATTGCTATGGAGAATTTTTCCATCAATATAGATATGTGGCTTTGCTGCAGTATAATTAACTGTAACCATAGATCTCTCTAAACAGTTTCCTTTGCTTTGTTCGGAAATAGAACTCGTTCTAACATCTAATGAAATTACAGGGTAAATTTATTCTTTAAGCAACAAACCACTGTTTGTCTGGTGTGGGTTGCATTCTCCTTAAATAGTGCCATGTGTGGGACATGAATGAAATGCATCCAAGCCTTCCAATCTCTACAAGGGCATGTTGGCTCTCTTGGATTTCTTCTCGCTTTATAGGCAGCATGACCCTTGTTGTTTCTGTGTAGTGCATGTGAGTTAGAGGGAAGCAACTGTATCTGTTACATATACAAAACAATTGGCACAATGGTATAGAAAGAATTTAGTGTAGTTCAAGCCCCAAAGGTAACTGTCAAAAATAATATCTTGATATAATTTATAAAAAGTTATGTCTTTTCCAAGACCGACTGTTTGCTGTCACATATTTAATTTCTGTTTTTATTATTATATTTGTGTTCCCCGGGGTTCTTTCAACCCAAAGCTCTTGGTAACTTACTCTGTGCCAGGTTGTGTCAGGAAACAAATCGGGGGAGACACGGCCGTCCGACCGATAGATGGCTAGCATAAACAGGACAACACAAAAGTGTTTTCACTTAAAGCTAAACTTTACTTAGTCCCAAGCACTTACATATGTCCGCAACAGGTTAGTAAAACACCCCCAATCCTCGATAATTACCAAAGCTGAGTGTGGCTCTCAAGTGGCACAGCGGCAGCCTGTCTGGATTGTCCCAAATCTGTAGTGAGGAAAGGACTGATGGTTAATTTATAATCTGATCTATTAGAAATGTCTGCCTTTTAATCAGCGAATACCTGTATCCCATACCACCTAAATACCTGGAAAAAATGTTGAACTCCAACCTAAGTTCTCGTGCAGAGATATAATGTGCACCAGAATAGAAACTGATGTAAAACTCTTTGCAGCAATATGTTTGTTACATTTGTGAATGAGTATCCAGATTGCATAGTTGGAATATTCTGATGGTGGGACCAGTCAGAAAACCAGAAATAATTCTTATATTTTTTAAAATAAAACAAGTAGGGGTAATACCATTATGCCTTCTTCTGTCTCGTTGTGGAAACACAATTATGGGACAAACTATTGAGCATGGGGAAACAAAATATTATACCAAAGAATACAACTTCATTTGTCTGATATGACTGTTTACATATCTCCATAAATGTGCATAGCAATTTCCAGTAGCTAAGTAACTATAACTAAATGCAAAGAATGATACTTAAGCCTTGAAGAGCTTGCTTGCAGTCTGAAGATAACAATAGATGCAACATAGGGCTTGTCTACACTGTGACGTTGACGAAATTTTGTCTTTCACGGTGTCATAAATATAGAGGGAAGGGTAACCACCTTTCTGCATACAGTGCTATAAAATCCCTCCTGGCCAGAGGCAAAACCCTTTCACCTTTAAAGGGTTAAGAAGCTAAGATAACCTCACTGGCACCTGACCAAAATGACCAATGAGGAGACAAGATACTTTCAAAGCTGCAGGGGGGGAATAAAGGGTTAGTCTGTCTGTGTGATGCTGTTGCCAGGAACAGATCAGGAATGCAGCCTCATAACTCCTTAAATTAGTAAGTAATCTAGCTAGAAATGCGTTAGATTTCATTTTCGTTTTGCTCTTTCCTTGTTCTTTGTTTAACATGCTTGGTGGTGGCAGCATACTGCTCAAAGACAAGGCAAAGTTTGTACCTTGGGGAAGTTTTTAACCTAAGCTGGTAAGAATAAGCTTAGGGGGTCTTTCATGTGGGTCCCCACATCTGTACCCTAGAGTTCAGAGTGGGAAGGGACCTTGACACATGGGTTCTTAAAAAAGCTGACCCCACCCCGCAAAAGACAAAAGTTTTGTTGATGCAAGTGGCAGTGTGAATGTGGCTTTGTCGGCAGGAGCACTCTCCTACTAAGCTAACGCCACTTGTGGGCTGGAAGTATTTTGTCAACATAAGCGCTGACAAAATACCTACAGAGAGCGTTTACACATGCTGACTTTTAGCGACAAGGCTGTGTCGACACAGCCTTGTCGCTAAAAGCTGCTTAGTATAGACAAGCCCATAGCAATTTGAATCTATATAGTTGGGGCTACAGTGGTGGTACTGTATGATTCTGTTGGATTTTCAGATGCTTTTAGTAGGACAGGGAAAGTTCACGCACAATAGGGAGACTGTTCTAAGATGAATGGGCTGCTTGGAAGAAGGTGGGCATGGATGGGAACGGATAAATGAGGTCGGGAAGTAACTTAGGTTGGTTAGGGAGTAGACAGAGATAAAGAAAAGGGGTTGGAATTAAAGTTTCTGAAAGTGAGGAGAAGCTTTAACATATTGTGGAATTAAAAAGGGAAGCCAGTACAATGATTGGAGACAGTTTGATATAGTTAGAGATGAATGATGTTGGCATCTGTGTTAATCCCTGTAGTAGCTTAAATGGAAGAGAGGCTACTTTTTTATTGCTGCTTTTTAGAATTGATTTATAATGGTTATCAGTGTAGTTTAAACCAGCTTTAATTTAATGACCAAATTTATTATTGGTGGTAGTGGGTTACAACTCGCTCTGAAGTGGGAACAATACTGAATGTGGCCTAATACCTTGTCTTGCTGACAGTTCAGGGCAACACAACACATAGCAAAACTTCTATTTTCATGCATACTTTTAATTCAGACTGACCCTGACCCTGTATCTGCAAAAAGAACAGGAGTACTTGTGGCACCTTAGAGACAGTCAGCTTTCATTTGAAACAAACACACACAAAAATGGTAAGTGAAAACCCGAAGGAAAAGTCTTTTGCATGATGCTGTGGGGGAACAGATTCTCAGTGTACGGTAATGTGCTTAGAATAGAGGGGAGCAGACAATGGCGGTAAAGAGGTAGTCATTCCTTAAAGAAAACACAATTATAAATTGGTTTGTTTACAAAACAACAAATGTGAAGGTGAAAATCCTTTATCTGTCTGCCATAAATCCACAACAGAATTATGGCTCTTTATTTAACTGTGGCATATATATTATTTTTTTGTGTAATGTAATTCCAGTATGCAAAGTTTTTAAAAACGCAGTTTTTTGAATTGCTTCTGAATAATTATTTTAAGGGACTATGAAATGACTTTCTAGGAATATGATATTGCTCGGAAGAAACTGTAATCCCTGTTACTCAAGAGAAAGTTTGTGTATTCCTGAGCTGCATATACCATATTTTACATATTGAGAGACAGCTTTGCCTTCAGTTTAAGGTTACTGTTATGTATACATAACGAAATGCAAACAGTTTTAAAGGGAAAGTAGGTAGAGATATATACACATGTAATAATTCCTAGTCACTGATATGTACACCTACAAAGTAGCCTATTAAAAAGCATATGCTTTTTCCTCCTGAACAGCTATACTAGATTACTCAGCATGTTTATCAGGAAATCATGAGCCATAGCAGGTTTCTATCTTCTGTATGTAGTCACAAATTTTTTAATCTAGGTCACCTAGTGAAGGTAACTATATATATGTATATTTAGAAGCCATATGTCACTGGTAGCAACAAATGAACGGTGTGCTTTAATTCTACAAAACGCTGGCTAGTGATCCTATAGAAGGAATACACACGTTAGATTTGGGAGCAGTAGTTGTTGTTATTATTTAATATTTTATGTTGCCATAATTGCTAGAAGCCCAAAGCAGAATTGGCACACCAGTGTAGTAAGGCATTATATGAACACATACCTGCCCTGAATAGTTTACAAAATGTGTTACTTAAGAACATTTGTACTTGGGTTTTCTATACATCATTCCCCTGTTATATTTTAAAGCACTCTCTTCCCTATGCTATTAATCACAGAGGAAAGTGTTTTGTATGTATAATCTTTTTAGATGTAATGCTTACAATAACTTTAGATTTGGGTAGTGGGTTAGCATTGTGCTTAGCACCCCCATGTAATAAATGTAATTTCAATCTGTAAAATGAAAACAAACAAAAAAAAATCATACCCCAGTAGAACCTCACTGGTGACTGGAAATCCTTTGCAAACTACTGAATTTTTCATATTCAGTTTTTAGTCCTGCAAAGAGATCCACCAACATGGATTCATATGCCTACACAGAGATCTATGGAAGTAAGGGAAGATCCTGCCTATTAAAGTAGATGAGACTCTGTATGGGGGCTGGATTAGCATTAGGGTTTTTAGAGAGTAGGTCATGAGCGAAACAGTTCTACAAGTTTCCTTGAAGGGTCGATGGTGAATAGAATGTTGGGAAGAGATATAAGTGCAGAAGGTTATGGCCTTCTCTTAAACTGTGAAGTAAGGCTTTTAAACTTCCCCCTTTATGGATCCTGTTTAGGTTCT